GGTCGCAGCAGCGGCACCACCAGTTGGGCTAGGAGTTCCATCAGTCGTATTGGATGGAACCCCAGGAACAGGGACAGCAGCAGCGAGCTTCTTGAACGCTTCGAGGGTCTTATCTCCAGTCTTAGGAGCGTTGATGGCGAAAACCATACCAGCCTGACAATGGGGCTTTCCGTTTCCAGGTTGAGCGCAGTAGAACCACTTTGGCTTGTCATCATCGACGGTGACGGGGAATGTCATCTTTCCGGGGGTGTTCTCCATGTTAGGGCGGAATCCAGAATCAATACCGCCAGCTTTCGGCACGCAGGGGGCATCAAAGGTAGACTCAGTCACGGTGTGGTTATTAGCGAGAATGTCGAACAGGACAACGTCGCCAATCTTGACATCGGCAACGTACTCGGGGTCGTACTTGAGAATCGGGGTAGTTCCATTGAGACCTCCGACCTTAACGGTATGGGTAGTGGCCGCATGGCCACCGGGAGCTGTGGTGGATGGTGGGAGATAGTCCGAGACATAAGAGGGAGTAGCAGTGACAGTCTTGATCTCGGTGGTGGTCTGTCCATCGATAACCTCCCAAACTTGCTCCGAGTAGGTGATCACGTCAATATTAATATAGACAATAACCTCCACATTCTTGGTGCAAGTACTGCAAGCTGCCTCTTCATAAGGGTAGATATACGCCGTTGCACAGGGAACCTCATACTAAGCAACCAAGGAGCTATCAGCACCGGAATCAATCGGGAGAGGGCGAAATCAAGACTTACGGTAATCCATGTGGGCTCGTGGACAGTCCACACTTCGGTCTGATGTGGCGGCGTATAAACACCGGGCCCATCGCAGTGGTAGGAGGTAGTCTTGATGCTCTTGTCAACGGACGTCACCTTCTGGTTATCGGCGGTGATAGTGACTGTTGGCCCGTCACCCCCGGCATGATATGTAGTGATGGGATGATCAATAGGCTTGACATCGGCAGTTACGGTCTTCGTCACCGTCACCGCATCCGGCTTATCCGCGCAGGTGAAGGTGTATGGCTTTTCCGGGACGGCCGCCGCAGAGGCAAATTTTGGCAATGCCACCGCAGCCACTGCAGCTGCAGCACACGCTAAGTATCTCATGCTTATAGGATATTATCGAGGTGAATTAAGGGATTTGCTGCAGGATTCGGGCTTCTGGGATAAACGGAGGTATACACGTGAGGAAAGAAGCCTGGCTGCGATAATGAACAGAAACTAAAGAAGAAGCGTAAAAAGATCAAAGAAATAAGAAAAGGGAAGAAGAAGAAAAGAAAAAAGGAAACGATTTACTCGTCACAGTGGATGGTGAGGAGTGAAGGGGGATGAGAGGGTGGTGAAAGAAAGGCAGATATCGAGGGCGCCATGGCCATTATTTATTCACTTCACAATCCGTATTCACAAGTAGAGTCAAGGGTAGTGGTGGCAGCGATAAGAAAGGAAATCAGACAATACACTGCTTATTCCGTTCGGAACACACGATACAGACTCTTGCGCCCTCAGCCACTCCGTCACCACCCTGACAGGCGGTTGCGCCAGGTAAGGTGAGCTTAGAATAATACTATGATGTTCTACATCCACCTGGGGCTACCGAGGAACAGAGTTAACCAGCCAGCCCGGACCAAACAATAAGCACCTTCTCTTGGTACCGTACACCAGGGTCACACGCCGCCTCGCCTGAGTTCGTGTGTGGTGGAGGCTGCCTCCGCGTGTGATGGTGCATGGGGCGCAAAATAGAAGCACCCAAAACGGCACGGATAACGAATATTCTCCGCCGAGACAGAAGGGAGATCAGGTTTACCGGTAAACTAGCTGCACGCTTTCCTTCTTCTTCTCCTCTCCGATAGTGGCTGGGGAAAGCAGGCGGGCTCACGTCTTCTCCAAAGCGTTGAATTAGTGCAGCCTTATTCCTATTCAGGCTAGCGCCCCATGGCTCACCCCCGGCAGAAACGACAAATTTAGAAAGTGCAGGGTTTGCTTTGAAAGCTTAACCTGTCGTTCCTGGGATTGCTGATCAAGCACACAACCTAGAATTACTTGCCGTGCTAGTCAGCGAGGGGCGCAAATTGCACAACACAGAAGTGCAGCTGTTCCTCCGGCGCCGTGCCCTTTTCTCCCATGCCTGACAGAGACAGAGATTCAACGTGCCGTCTGAAGTTCTCGAGCTAATTCCTGCTCCCGTAGCGAAGTGCAAAATTCTTTGCCCTTAGCCTTTTATCATCTTGAATTATGGATTGGCCCGTCACAGCGGTATCCACAGATCCTACTGGACCAGAAAGAAAAAAAGAAGAAAAAAAGTGGTCTTGGGAAATTTGCCCGCAAACACAGTAAGGCCAAGACTATGATCAGAGATAGAATTATACAAGTACCATATCTCGCATGCTGACTTACTTGGCTATACTTGATCGGGAATCGGTAAGCTATTTAAAAGTACGGTGCAGAGTCCCCTCCTCTATCTCCTCCTTACTGTGTGTGCGATGCGGGATCAAGAGAACCAAGTGATTCTCTCTCTAAGGAACCACATGTAAGATATCCCTGGAGCTAAAATTTGATGAGTGTGTTCTTCTCGTCGCACTCGGCCATTGGCAAAAAAAAAAAAAGACTAGTGAATTGGGTTCTATAGTAATTCAGTAACACTACCATAAATACCACGTACACCGGTATGCCGTAGGTACGGTGGGTGGTATCCCCAGCCCTATGGGGCTTACTGCTGTAGGTATGAAGGTCCGATAGGAAGGACGGGAAGTCAGAGGATTAATCAAACAGTACAGTAATCTGCAGGAAGAAGCTCGGACTATCCATAACACCGCTTGAGGTGGTGGCACCACTGCATCTCACAAATCACGGCCTATCCACGGGCTGGATGCGGAGTCGCCACGAGGGAGGGGGTGCAAGATTTGTATACTGAACACGTAAAGGTGGAGTGCCGATGTGCCGGCGGTCATTACTTCTCCATATCATCACAGAAACCCGTGCTGTAATCTCGAGCTCGCCCGAAAAACAAACCTCGCAGTATAAGTCGGATAAGCCAGAAATCTGTTCTACTGTGCTCGTAGTGCTTATGCCTTCCCAGCGGAATCCCACTTCTTCCTTACTCCTTTACAGGCACTCCTCGGCGAGACCCAACCAACTACCATACCGGACTCTAGCACTATCAACAGCGACTCTATTCCAGGGGAAGGCGCTCTTCTCCACCCTTCCCCAAGAGCCCGACCCAGCGGGCAAAGGCATCAGGGAATCCATGATCACCGACTCTTATCCTTACTCACCGAAAACCCTCCAGCACCTACTCACCTACATACCGACAACCGGGGTAACTTGGGCAAGCCCCGGCGTGCCTCGCTCGCTTAAGCAATCTATCGAACCGTATCGCGTCGTATCGATTGTGGAAACGCACGTTTCATGCGCGACGCAAAGGCAAATTATTATACCTGGAATTAGAATTTGTTTCTTTCTCCATCCATCCCACCACTACGCCTGGCGGGTTGAGAAACGGGTGCGTAGTCTAGGTGGCGCAGTGACTTCACCACCCGGGAGTGCATTTATTTATTACAGCAGCCGCCTGTAAGTACCGTATTTGGAAATCGCCTTCGGGAGGGACCACTGACGCTGTGGCTGTGTGGCTGTGTACGGGGCTGGTTTGAGGAAGGGAAGCGACTAACAATGGAATAATCTAGACGCTCGCGCTTAACTTGAGGCAAGCTCGATGGCGGCAGTATAGGGTTTCTTATATGGCAGGTTATTGGTTTTCCATTCTGATATGTGTGATATCATACTATGGAGAAAGGAGTATAATATCGTATCCCCAGATGTGGATATGATACAGTGTCCACGTATATACAAGCGCCGTACGTGGGATATACCGTATTAGAACATGTAAACCCCCAACCCCGGTCCCAAGAGACGGTCTCTGTCCGCCGCATCACTCGGTGTGGCCTGCACACCCAGACCGGTAGCCTTCCTTCTCCCCTTCCACCGCCTCCCAACCAATCAACAGCGGAAAAACAAATGAGCGTGGCATACCGTTACGTGACAAGAGCATCTACTACGGTATACACATCACACAGTACGGTAGCGTTTACTAATCCATCGATGCGGAATCTCTCTATATTTGTTTCCCCAACCAGAATCCCAGCCCCCCCTCCCGAAAAGAAAATGTGAATAAGAAAAAAAACTACTCTACTTGTACAATATTTTTATACCTTCATTCCGCATTTGGGGGGATTCCGGGTGGGGTTAGAGGAAGTTATGAATAGCGGCCTATCCACTCTAGGCTCCAGAGACACCCACCGTATCTACGAGACCCCTTCTACAATAGGTGAGTGGGTAGTGCTCGTAGTGGCTACTGGGTTTCCCACCAATGAGCCGTGACTCTACCCTGTGGGAGGGAATGGATATTCGGTTGTATAACGATACTGCAGCTACCGTAGCTGGTCAGCAAATGTATGATTACCTCATTATAGTGCCCAAAGCGCTTTGTTGGAGGATTTATATTCGTCCTGTTTTGTCTTTAGTAAGCGGGTCTCGTGGGGTATGATGGATAGATAGATATTGGGTGGCCCCCCATACGGGCTTTTAACTTTAGACAGCTCTTCCGGGCTCCTACCGGATATACTTCTCCGCCAGAACTACTGCTGTCGTTGAAAGTTGGACGAATAGATATTGTCGCCGGATATTGAAAACATTATCAATCAAATCCGTACCGGTGGGAACGTCAGATCATGCTTGTGGGGAGCCCCGGAGGCCGAAACCCCCTCCCCGCGCCAGGGAAAGCCAGTTATTTGGTTGTACGCATGAAAGATTTATTTATAATATTATTATAATATATATATATTGTGAAGCCAATGAGACGATTCCACCCATATCTATTCCCATATTGACTTTTCTCCTCTTCCCAGGATACTAAGGTAGAGCACCGGAATACACGCCCGTCTCGCAAAACCCCTAATTACGAGGAATTCCCCACTGTTCCTACGAACACTAATGTATCCTAGAGGACTGGGAGAGAGGGAAGGGAGTGGTTAACCAAAGCAGGGGGAAAGGAGCTGCCGTTCCTTCAGTCAATTTTTCTTTCTTGACCAGCTCGTGATATCAAACAATCCCACTAATGCTGAAGCTCAATTGGGGTTCATCGTGTACGCTGCAGACTACATGCAGTCAGATAAAACCTGTCAGGTATGATAAGCAGAGAGACACAAAAGCATCCAAACTCGGAGGCCCGAAGCTCATCACTCACAATTGAGGAGGGGCGGGGGGAGAGACTGTCAACACCATGCCATCGTAAAACGAGCACTGTATGTTAGGGAGCAAATTTTGCCAATGGACTACACGAGCGGTGACAACGTAGATAGTGTTAGGAGTGACCAATCGTTACCCTTCAAAAAAAGCCCCGCTACCCCCGGGCAATCCCTCCTAGCCACTAATGTCCCAGTATGAGAACCTAAATTTATCCTAACCCTCCCTCCCCCCCCCCCACACAGAAGCAGGCACGATCGTATAATACAATACCATCCACACCGGCATCATCAAAGCTCACTCGAATAATATGCACTAACCTCAGTACTGGTTTATGCGGATTCAGCCCCAGGCCGAACCTTCTCGTCACGAAACAACAGCAATTAACCCACGGCTTAAAATTTCCCCGCCCAGAAACTAATCTTAATAACACTTCCCAAACGTTGATCCGGTTCCGTATCCCCTCAGTCGTAAATTACCATCGCTTACATCTAGCGAGATTTGGAAACCGTCAGAATCAAAGATTCAAGAAATGACCGCCATAGCAGAATTTTCCCGGAAGGGCTGTGGAGATGGGAGGACGAGCTGCGGTCCTGACTAAGGATGGGCTCTGGACCGCTTCTGCTTCTCCGGGAATTAGATTAGAGCGCACTTATCATACCGGTAGTGCATACCGAGGTGTCGGACGTAGTCAGCTCGAGGCCAAGAGGTAGGTAAGTAATTTAGGCATCATAGGCAGCAGACCATTCACAGTAAGATTTAATAAAATAAATGCGGAAGAAAAGAAAAAAAAAAACATGACCAACCGCTCCAACCGCTGTCAGCGGTCCATCCTCAAATTTACAGGTCTAACTATGGTGTGTGCCCTGCACAATTTGACACAGATGGCGGATCTGTATCACGATGTGTCACTCGGTTGGCTACTCAGCAGTGAACGCCCAGGGGGGGGGAGTAATTGATTATTAGTAAATTACTTTCTAAAGTATCACACCACTGTGCTGCGAGCCCATTGGGACTGTTGGGATCTGTAATTGCTCAGTTTCACGAGGTGGGGTTCTTCAGCTCGATCTTTTTGCCCCTACTATCCGAGCACTGTACTTGCCAGTACTGGATATCTGCCGGTGGGAAACTCGGCCGCCAGGAAAGGCGGAGCCTCTAGCACCCGTCAGGGCACCATACAAAGGACAATCCGCTGTTCAGCGTAATCCGTCCTCAGAGTGCGAGCGTCAGCCTGCCGGACTTTTTTGCTCATCAGCCAAATTTACTCTTTTTCAACCGTTTTTACACGGATACCCGGCCATCAACCAACTCTTATTAAGGGGAGAAGAGGGGGAGAGAAAAAAAAGCCTGTCGAATCCCGCCAAGTGGCTAGTGAGAACCCCGTTCCCCGAGTGGCCTGAGCAAAGATAACGCTTGATTTCATTGAAAATTGGTAAGTAGGGACCAAACCCGAATCACAGAGTCCTGCCCGTGCCCTCTAGCGGGGCCAGGTAAGCTCAGATAGCAACAACATCTCGCCTCGCTAGCTCGCAACATCGCCCCCACAAACTCACTCTTCGGCTCAAGGTATTTAGGTGGCTCTATGCAAGCTAACTCCAGCCGTAACT